CTGCAATCACTTAATAAACAATGAGACACATACGATTATTGTTAAAGTTATTTTCAGAACTTCACTAGATGTGAAGAAACTGTTCAAGCAATGAAGGGAGGAGTCGCAATGGGTGAGAAGTCCCATTTAAACATAGACCAACTAGCTTTAAAGCATTTTTATTGAGGTATAATTAGAATATAGTAAAAAGCACACATGTACAGTGTATAGTTTGATGAATTTTGACAAATGCATACATTTTGACACCACTACCAAGACATAAAATCTTCCCATCATCCCAAAAGTTTCCCGGAGGTTTCTGTCCAATCATTGATTTGCTTTCTAAGCCCATAGAGTAGATTTGTCTTTCCTGGTGTTTTTCAATAACTGGGCTTACACTAGTCCCTATTGAGGCTTGTTCCTTTGGCTCAGCAGGGGTGTGTGTGTGTGTGTGTGTGTGTGTGTGTGTGTTAGCTTCACCCACGTTGTTGGTTGTTTTTATTGCTGAATTTAGACTTTAAAAGGAGAAGTGAAGACAGCCAAATAATAATAATCTAATTAAGTAATCAATTACAACAGCATTAAATTAAGCCGAAGACTAATTACAAGTGGAAAATATTCCACCAATAGCACAACTAGGGTTTACAGGAATACCACAAAGACGTGGGGTTTGGTTCCAGGATACCGCAGTGAAGTGAACAGCCCGATAAAGAGAGCCAGACAATCTTCGTGCCTATGAGCGTTGTGTACATCACATACTGTGGCCTGTTAAGTGTTCAATTGCATTAAGGCAAGGTTATAAGAATTATCAAAATGTGTCAGGAGAGACGAAAGGAACACAAATGTAAAAATGGGGGTCACGGACTTGTTCATCTCCGTCAGGATCACCACAAACCTTCAAGTTTGTATGTCTGTGAAGCACAATAGAAAGAGATATACAGGAGTATTGAATGTGATGGACACTGAATAAAGACCAAAGGAAAATGCATGCGTTTTAAATGTGGTGCTGGAGGAGAATATTCAAAGTACATGGACTGCTAAAAAGACAAGCCTGTCTCTTGGAAGAAGTATGGCCAGAGTCCTCCTTAGAGGCAAGGAAGGCAAAGACATCATCTTAGATGCGCTGGACATATGATCAGCGGAGACCAGGCCCTGGAGAAGGGCATCATGCTTGGTGCAGTGGAGAGGCAT